CTCCCTTTCTTGGAGGGGATGGGCCAACGTCCTGTGGGGGATGCTGATACATGGTGTATGTCCTTGCAAAACGCATGGCCTCTGCTATGCCAAACACTTGACGCAGCCGAGGCTGCTTACAAGACCCAGGCAGACAAGGGTAGGGTGGTGGGGTTTGATCTGAAACCTGGGGATCTTGTGTATGTCTCGACCAAGAACATTAAGATGCTGCGGCCTAGCAGGAAATTGGGGTGGAAGTTCATAGGTCCATTCAAAGTGCGTAAAGTCATAAATAATGTGGCGGTTGATGTTGTTTTGCCTAAGAATTTACGTGCTCTGCATTCTGTTTTTCACATGAGCCTGTTGAAGAAGGATCCTGGCCCGTCTCCTTGGAGACCATCAGTTTCTCCTCCTCCGCCTGTCATTTTGGAAGGGGATGAACATTTTGAGATCGCTGATATCCTTGATTGTAAGTTGAAACGTGGTAAACTCTGGTACCTTATAGAATGGGTTGATTTCGGTCCCCAGCACCGCGAATGGGTGGAAGAAGGGGATATTCAGGCCCCTTACCTGATCCGTAATTTCCACATGAGGTTCCCGGGCAAACCGGGAGGTCTCCCGCCCAGCCCGGGAGATCTCCCGCCCGACCCGGGACGTGTGTTTTAGATGTATTTTAAGGGGGCAGTATGTCAGCAAGCTGCCATTCTGTTTTCTGTGACCTCTGTGTACATATCCTTACCCTGTTGCACCCGGCTTGTTTCTACCGTCCTGCTTCTGTGCTGGAATGCATAAGATAACTACTGGTGGTTGTGTGGGGGAGAAGATGCTGTAATGCTTGCCTATTGCTTATCTCATGAGAACTGCACCTGTGTTTGGTCTGCTATTCTGCCTGGTTCCCATGGACTGGGCGCGCAACCGTTTCATTAGCCCGCCAGCGGGAATGTTATTCATTGGACATGTATCTGTTTGAATTTCCTTTATTATGCTTGCCCTACCTGTGTATCCCCAGTTCTAACAAAGAACGTGTTTGAGTATGTCTTCAACGCTTTGAAATAAATTTTGCTTTTCTTGAAAACGTGGATTTATTCTCGATGCTTGGGGATCCAACATAAAGGGGGAAGCAAAAATTCTTTGGTCTGATGTCTTGTCCACCACTCACAGGTTTCCTACAATTCTTTCGACAAATATGTCACTTTGTGGGCTCAGACCCAAGGCCTTCCCCACCTCTTTTCTGAGGGGAGGTTGCCTGTCTTCCCATTGATTAGACTATTCAGTTCAGTAGTCGCCCTGGGATGGAAAAAGGGGCCTATTCTGAGTGACTCTAACACATCAAGGAGGCACATGGAAAGGTCTTTTGCTTGCCTGCCTTTCTACCCTTCCCGGACTCTGCTTTGGGGGTGGAATTTGCCAGTGGCAGAATCCCACCATTCCCTTTTGTTTGGGATTATTCCCTGGCTGTTTTTACGAAATGCATGGTGATTAGGGTGACCCATCTGAGGCTTTTATATAGCTTTCCCTGCTTTGTTGATGGCTGGTTGTTGGTCTTTACAGGGCAAATGAGTTTCCCTTTCTTGGTGATTAGTTGGTCCTTAGTTTACTACAATGATTAACTTTTTGGCTTCTACAGCTGCAGTTTCTTGCATGTTTACATGCCTGTATGTGACACCGTGACAGAATTTGGTTTTGTATTTCAACTTAAAGGGATGCCCGGACAGAGCTAATGTGCATCTGAGATAATTGTGTATGCTACCCTGCGGTGGGTCAAGTGGTTAAGACACTGAACTGTAGGCTGGAAGGTTGGTAGTTCAGCTGTTCGAGACCCAAGTGCCGCATGACGGATTGAACTCCCGTCTCTGTTTCCAGCTCCTGCCAACCTAGCAGTTCGAAAGCAAGAAATTGCAAGTAGATAAATAGGTACCGCTTCAGTGGGAAGGTAACAGCGTTCCATGCGCCTCGGCGTCTAGTCATGCCGGCCACATGACCACGGAGAAGTTTTCGGACAGCGCTGGCTCTTCGGTTTGGAAATGGAGATGAGGACCACAACCCTAGAGTCATATTTGACTGACTTTCGAGCAAGGGAAACCTTACCCTTTTGGTAAATCTGAGTAGCAGATTTTAAATGGGTTTTGTTGAAGTGACAAAGATAACTGAAACCTACAAAACAGTTGTCCTGAGCATACAGGGTTGTACCAGATCCTTAAGATTTAAAGACTGCTCTTCAAGAATGGTGAACAGACAGGAGCATTGTAGGTGTGTTAAGTGTTGAGGGAAAAGTAAAATTTTGGCCCTCAGGCTTCTGCCTGAGAACCCAGCCCTCCCTGGGTTCAGTGTGATGGATGGGACTGGCTGGACACCAGGTCAAATTATCAGAAAAAGCTCAGAGCACTTACCAAAAGGGTAATGTACACAGTTACCCAAATAATAAAGGAAAGAGATCTCTTGACCAATGCTCCCTCTAAGCTGTGGAGTCTGGTGAGCAAAAATTCTACTTTGTGAGCTCCTGGCATTAAAGTTGTGAGCGAGTGATTTAGCTGCTGTATAAATCAGTTTGCTCTGGAGCCGTCCTTCCTGAGCCGAGACAAAAATGTGTGAGCCGGAAGTCACGAAACAGTGAGCTGGCTCACACTAACTCAGCTTAGAGGGAACACTGCTCTTGACTGCCATCCAAAGTCTCCAAATATGAACTATCGGGGGCAGTGTTGTATCTTGAAATATCACACACACACACATATATACACACACATTTTTGTAATCAATAGAATGCAGAGTGCACGTCAGCACAAACGTAACCCTAACCAGACCCTTCCCCATAATGGCATCATGAACTTTTACCCATCTCAGGGATATTGAGCAGGTCAAGAGTCCTTAGATACAACAGGAGACATTTGTGACCTTCATCTATAGAAATTAGGTCTTGAAGATGGTACGCTTTTGGCTCCGGGGATGTAAACGTGTGAAACAGAGGTCAGCTCCCAGGCGTGGCCTGTGTTCCAGGAGACAGCATTAACCACAGGAAGTGGTGGCGGCTACAAGCATGGACAGCTTCCAAAGGGAATTAGATAAGCATATGGAGCAGAGGTCCATCAGTAGCTATTAGCCACAAGGTATAGATAGGGGCTCTGGGGCAAGTGATGCTCTGTCTTCTTGGTGCTTGGGGGGGCCAACAGTGGGAGGGCTTCTAATGTCCTGGCCCCACTGGTGGACCTCCTGATGGCCCCTGGGATTTCTGGCCACTGTGTGACACAGAGTGTTGGACTGGATGGGCCATTGGCCTGATCCAACATTGGCGTCTCTTATGTTCTTATATGGAACAGAGGTCCATCCGTGGCTATGAGCCACAAGGTATAGATAGGGGCTCTGGGGCAAGTGATGCTCTGTCTTCTTGGTGCTTGGGGGGGCCAACAGTGGGAGGGCTTCTAATGTCCTGGCCCCACTGGTGGACCTCTTGATGGCACCTGGTATTTTTGGCCACTGTGTGACAGAGTGTTGGACTGGATGGGCCTTTGGCCTGATCCAACATTGGCGTCTCTTATGTTCTTAACCATGCTGCAGTGCTTTCGGGGACAGAACCAAAGTCTACTCTTGCTTTATTTTGTTTAATGTGCCTCCTTATACATAAATGTTCCAGGCTCCCTAAGCACGCAGTTCTGCCACATTAAGTGCCGTCAGGTTGCTTCTGACGTATGACAACCTTACGAATTAATGACCTCCAAAGCATCCTCTTGTTTAACAGCCTTGCTCTTAGTTTCTTTTTTCCCCTTTTTAGTGAGTATTTTGTGTTTGTGTGTGTGTGTGTGTGTGTGTGTGTGTGTATGTGCCTGGAAGTTATGGTGACTTCTGGCAGCCGCTAGTGGAGCAAATACGTTCCAGAGAGGTGGCTTTGATATTACCTGCCTCTGCATCCCAGCCCTGGTATTCCTTGGAGGACTCCCTTTCAGTTACTTGCCAGGGTCGGCCCTGCTTAGCTTCCGAGATCTGACGAGATCTGGCTTGCCTGGGCTATCCAGGTCAGGACTCTTAGTTTCATTTCTGAGGTTACCCACCCTCGCCCTTTGAAACAGTGGGGGAAACCTTCCACTGAATGAAATCAAAGTTGGCTAAAATTTCCAGTCAACCATAGGAATAGGAAAATTAAAACAGGAACCCAGAGGCATCATTTGTTGTTGTTCAGTCGCACAGTCGAGTCCGACTCTCCGCGACCCCATGGGCCAGATCACGCCAGGCCTTCTGGTCTTCCGCCGTCCTCTGAAGTTGGCTCAATTTCATGTTCGTTGCATCATAGAGACTAAAAAAAAAAGTAACTTTATAGGGTGTCTGTGGTCTCCTGTTCGGATTTGCCGCTACAGACTAACGGAGCTTATAGGATTTTATATAGCAGCTTCAGGACACATTTTTATTTATTTTATTTATTTCATTCCATTTCTATCCCGCCCTCCCCGGACGCAGGCTCAGGGCGGCTTACAGGGCACAAGGTGCTATAAAACAGATACATTAAAACAGCAGAAGCTAAAAACATTAACATCCCACAGATACATGAAGGACTAAATTGCACATTCTCCATTACATGTCACGAGGAGGTCCAAGGTCAAAGTCAGAAGGAAGACGGCATGCGCCATGATGTTCCCATTTCCCATCGGCCCATCCCCGACGGTCCTGCTCCGCATATATGCAGTGGTGGTAGTGGCGGCGGCGGCCCCTACTCAAAAGCCTGGCGGAAGAGCTCCGTCTTACAGGCTCTGCGGAACTGTAAAAGGTCCCGCAAAGCCCTGATCTCCTCCGGGAGCTCATTCCACCAGATAGGGGCCGCCACCGAAAAGGACCTGGCCCTCGTGGTAGCTAGCCTGGCCTCTTTAGTGCCCGGGGTCACTAAATGGTGCTGTGACCCCGACCGAAGTGCTCTTTGGGGCCTGTATGGGGAAAGGTGGTCCCTCAGGTATGTCGGACCCTGGCCATGTAGGGCTTTCCTTTTTGATGTAATGATTGCAACAGGTCGTAAACAGAATTTCTTTTTATTTCTGTAGGGGATGCCTGTCCTTTGAAGGGTTGTGTTCTGTGCTGCAGCACATAGAAGAAATGACAGCCAGGGTGGCTTCTGAATGCCTGATGCTGTACAAGAGCAAACCTGTGAACTCAGCAGAGCTGGAGGCCCTTATAAGGTTATGGATATTTTCCTTTTAACTTCCTCTTTATCTGTTTAGATCAGCTGGCTTTGTTGACTGTGTTTGAATTCAGCTCATCTTGGGTGCTCAAGTGGCATGGTTGCTCCGGCACTGGCTGGGGGCTGGGGGCGGGGTTTCAGCCTTTTGTGGTTCTTTCAACAGTGATACTGTAGTGATATGCAAAGCTCACAGATAGAGGAACTACATGGGTGGAGGGCTTTCATATAGAACTTGATTGGCCGGGGAACAGCTGCATGGAATGTGTGCAAAGGGGAGCCAAGTGCAATGCTCCCTCTATGCTGTGGAGCCCTGTGAGCAAAAACTATACTTTGGGAGCTCCTGGCATTAACGGTGTGAGCCAGCGATTTGGCTACTGCACCAATTAGTTTGCTCTGGAGCCCTCCTCCCTGAGCTAAGACGAAAATGTGTGAGCCGGAGGCTAAAAAACCTGTGAGCAAGCTCACACTAACTCAGTTTAGAGAGAACACCACTGCCCAAGTGTCTTGAACATCATACTTCAGTGCTTTGTTTATAAAGACATCTTTTTCATGTTTAAAGAATCCCACGGGCTGTCGTTGCATGCAGTTTTGTGTAACGTGGAGCTTGGACCTGATACTTGTTTGCCTTCAGGTGCGGTGAGTCCACACTCTGGTTGTCTGCTGGTTCGGTCTCTACCACAGTGCGATGGAAACAGTGCAGATAATTCAGACTGGAGGACCAGCTACGAACGTGACCAAACGTAGCTGCAGTGCAAAGGCTTCTATATCTGAAAACAGAGCAAAGCCTTTAGGATGGTGATTCAGTGGCATGCGTGCCTGGTGGTGATTCCATTGAATCCAGGCCTGGCCCCGGTAGGCTGTTTTTCTCCCATCCTGAGTAGGAGCTGAAAGGAGTTTTTATATAAGGAGCTGCGGTGGCTCAAGTGGTTAAGACGCTGAACTGCAGGCTGTGGAAGGTCGGTAGTTCAGCAGTTCGAGACCCGAGTTGCCGCGTGACGGAGTGAGCTCCCGTCTCTAGTTCCATCTCCTGCCAACCAAGCAGTTTGAAAGCAAGAAATTGCAAGTAGATAAATAAGTACCACTTCGGTGGGAAGGTAACAGCGTTCCGTGCACCTTGGTGTTTAATCATGCCGGCCACATGACCACGGAAACGTCTTCAGACAGTGCTGGCTCTTCGGCTTTGAAACGGAGATGAGCACCGCAACCCTAGAGTCGGACTCGACTGGTTTTCGAGCAAGGGAACCTTTACCTTTTACCTTTCAAAAGTGTGCAGTGAGCTCTGGTGCTGTCAGTTCCTATCCTGATGTCATTGAGGTTGCAGGCTCGAGGCCTTCTGTGTTTGACACTCCAGAACAATGTTCCCTCTAAGCTGTGGAGTCTTGTGAGCAAAAATTCTACTTTGTGAGCTACTGGTGTTAAAGTTGTGAGCGAGGGATTTGGCTGCTGCATAAATTTGTTTGCTCTGGAGCCATCCCTTCCTGAGCCAAGACAAAAATGTGTGAGCCGGAGGCTAAAAAACTGTGAGCTGGCTCACACTGACTCAGCTTAGAGGGAACACTGCTCCAGAAGCTGGGAAGCAGAAGTGAAGAACATGCTATTGAAACTGAAGTAGTTTGCTCCAAATGCCCCATCAGCTTCTTCTCCAAAGGAAACTTCACTGGGGGGAGCCAGCCATCCTAGGTCACGTGTCTAGCTGTCACAGTTGGGTTCAGAAGGGGAGAACTCCCTAACTTTCGGATGTTGGGGAATCAGGGAAACAAACGTTTCTTGACCCCAATGGTCTCACAACAGAAGGGGCTGGTCTAGATAATCCTTGATCTCTTCTGGTTATTTATATTCAGATCGTGTACTGTGAAGACTGTTATTGATTACGCAGAGAAGAGTAGTGTAGAACTGCTTATAATGGATTTAAGTAAACATTTCATTAAGTACCTGTTATTGTTTTATTATAGCATCTGTAATCAAACCGGCAGCTTGGAACAAGAAGACCTTGAGGTATGTGAAGCACTTGTCCTTCATCAGCTTCAGAGATTATTACAAAGCACAATGAATGGATGTCTTTTACCAGAGGAAGCACTTAATGACAAAAGTGGGATGCTGGGTGAAAAACAAACCAGGTATGACCATTGTTGGGACTTGCACAATTAATATTTTATAAGTCGCCTATCTGTGACTAATGCTGAAATCAAATAGTTTCAAAAGGTAACTGCATATGGTTGAAATATCAAGTGCGTGCTTTAGCAGTGCGGAGTGCACCGTTAATGGACCTCTCCGACAACCGTGTTATGTTTCTTTATTAAAAGGGGGGGGAGTTGTGTCCTAGTGTTCAGGAGGTAAACACATCCTGTTCATTCCTTCTAGGAGGAATGGGTAACACTAGAATCACCCACCAGTGAGCCTAGGGGCAGGAGGGCAGGCTTTGCTTGCTTATTTGACAGGCTATTCTTCCTATTTTTTAACTCCTCCTTTCATAATTTTATTTAAGTTATAGAAGTGTACTTTTCACTAACACTATGAGAGGATTGGGACCTATCAGCAGTTACTTCTTAACCTTAAGTCAAATATTGTACTCTTGTTTGGTAGGTCTTCTTTTGTGGCCCCTGTGCTGTGTTGAAACTGTGGTTTAGCTTCCTAATATGGCTATATTGCTATGGGGGAAAACACTTCTGTGTTTTAGGATTTCTTAGTACTAATTTTCCAGTTCAAGGTGTTTTCATTGGTGGTCCCGTGTCTATGGAACTCTCTTTATTGCAGTTCTCTTGGGACTCTTCCCCGTCTGTGGTTGGGTGTCAGGTCAAAGACCTTGTTATTTCATTATGCCTTCGAACTTTTTGGTTTAACTTCATTTCCCTCTGGGATGTTTCGTTTTCCTCTTAGTGGTTTTTGGCTTGTAATTTGTTGTTATATCTGTCACTTTAAATACTGCTGTCACTACTGGGGTTTTAATTTATATCATGATTGTTAGTTGTAACCTTAATGTATCGTGTCACACTGTTTTCGTTGTTGTGACTTGTAAGCCACTCTGAATACTAGGAAAAGGCAGGAGATAGGTTAAAAATAAACATATGAAAATGCAAGACCATCGGCTCATCCATCTTATTCTGGCTGCAGCAGCTCTCCAAGGTCTCACCAGACCTAACATTATAATTCAGATTTGTTTGACGTAACTTTACAATAGCTTACCTTATCTTCGGCATGGATGTCTGATCAAGAGTTTCAGAATAATGAAACTCATGTTGGATATTCTGGGTAATGTTGAACGTGGCTATTTCTGATTTTTTTAAACTGATACTTGCCGTTTTGCCTACAATATTTACTTTTGTTTTTCTGTAGGCCTGAACTGTCATCTTATTTTGCAAGGATATGGGAACGTTTAAACAAACATGTCATGTTCTTGAAAGAGCACAATGTTGTACTCACACAAGAAGTGAAAGACATGTTGGCCACCTTACTGGTTTTGGAGAGAAATAAGCAAGACAGCCTGGTCAGTACCGATTTCATTTGCTGAATAATTTGTCTTATCCTTTTGTCTGTCTAGGGCAGCAGACTGAGATCTGGAGAAAGCTCTAAGGAAAAAAGTCCTTCTTAAAGGTTTTTTCAATGTATTATATGTATATATCTATATCTCAGTGTAAGGTCTTAGACATATTGGATCTGTTTTGTATTTTACTGTAGAAAGCTTGGGGGGTCTTCAGCCACTAGGCGATGATCGCTTCTATGAATGTTCTCATCAGGGTGGCAGGGAAAGTGTCAGTTTGAAGCTAGGATGTATATAGCATTTTGCAGTTTATCCTCATGACTGCCCTGATGATCGGAAAATATGTACCTGGTATAAATTAGGGTGTTTTTGTATTACTTTTTAAAAGGTGCTATGCAGTTACATTGAAGTTTTACTCCCAACTAAGTGTACATAAGATTGCAGCCCAAACAATTTGCATCTCTTATACTATAGACGACCAATTCTGAGCTGGGAGCAAAACTCTCTAATCACCTTGTGCTGATACAGGCTGTCCAATAAAGTTGACATTAGCAGCAAGAGCTTCGGGGATACATATGAGCAATTGGATGATATACAATCCTTGGGGGGGGGAGGGGGGTGATCGACTAATGTTCTTCCTGGAAGGTGCCCTCATGGGGCATTCTCAGTGGCCTTTTGTTCTTCTGCAATATGCACAGGATAACTTGTATATATGAGACCTACAGAGAAATTTAGTGGTGCTTTTCAAATCTGTTAATTGTGTATTAGGAAAAAATTGGGCTTGTAGATATTTTTGAATGGATGAATAAAGGCAAAGGAGCAGAAACTGAATTTTTTAAAAAAAATTCAGCAGTATATATTCCAAATATTGTGGCAGCATTGAGCAGGGTTCTGAAAGGGGGATACGTGTGCATTTATCATCTTTTAAAATTACAATACAATATTCTATTTCCAATGTTTTAGGTTATGTCATTATTGAAAGAGAACTGTCCAGAAGAATGTGTAGATGAATCATCTCCTTGCAGCAATGTAACATCTTGTAGTTCACAGGCAAACAAAATAAAGCATGAAAATCATACACAGTTGCTTGGTAGTAATGGTGCAAGGGAACACGGTAATATTTTTAAATGGTCTGGATGCATTCTGAGTTTATTATTGCACTGTTTGGAACCTCAGGCTATGGCTTTGCGAATGCAACAGTGCAAATTCCAAGCGATATTTGCTCTAGTCCAGTAGCTGTGGTGGGCGCATGGGGGTATGCATGTGTGGGGCTCTTTAATGATAGGGTAGCCCCATATAACCAGCTACTATCCAAATGTGTGATTAAATGCATGGAGTGTGTTGTGCTGTTGAAGTGTTTCCTTTGAAGCTCCATATGCCCAATCCTGAGGATGGATAGATATATATATTTGAAGTTATATTTGAATAAGATCCTTTTTGTCTGTGGCTTATGAGTAGCAATTATTCCTCTTTTTCAGAAACTAACACCTTTTCAGGTGTAAAGCAGAAATACATGTTGCTCCATTAAAACAGAATGTACAAATAGAATAGTTGTAGATTTTAAAAACAAATATATGGATGGAAGTATTGATGAATGTGTACATGGGGGGTGGGAAGTGATGGCTTTTACTGGTAATGGGGAAATGTAGATACACCCCTTCGTTTTGTCATTTTTTAAAAGGAACAACTCCATGCCGAGACAAGCATATGTTGTTCGGTTTTTTGAATTTAAAGAAAAAGGATCTGTTAGATTAATATTTTTTTTGGCTAGAGGAAGTAATTTGATTTAGAAGCAGGAGATGGTGCCTTGCACAGTGGGTTTCACAGAGCATCCTGGCATCAAAGACCAAAATAGACAAGCAATTAGGCCATACACTCTTTTACACAGTAAACAGAAGCAAACCCGTTTAGGCTGCTTTTACTAGTTTTTATTATCAATAAAAAGAAACTGATTTAAACTAATTTTGAATGTCTATCAAATATTGCTTTTGGGTTAAAAGGTACAGCTGCTGAAGTTACCACTGCCTTAAAAAAAAAAAGTCAGAAACCCAAACTCTTTAAGGTATTTGGGTGGTTTACTGTTTTCTTTGGTATATGCACAGAGATACAGTAGCAGCTTATTTGACTAAAGTTCACAGTAGGGTCCTTTTGTAAAGAACTGTAACGGACAGTTTAGATCAATAAACAAGAGATAACAAAAGTGATAAATTAAAGGGAATGGGGCTTAAAAAGAAAACAAACTGGTCTGATCACTGTGACTTTGAAATGTGCTTCATTATTGTGTGTGTTCACATACAGAAGTCACAAACTGGAGTGAAGATGAGAGCAAGGAAGAAAGCCTGGTGGAAAAGATTCCTGTTTCAGGTAAGAGTAATGGCTGCATAATAACCTCAAATGCAGGATTTGACTTCATTAAATAATGAAAACGTCGCATTTCAGCAGCTTGCAAATCCCTCTAATAGTGAGTAAATTCAGCTACTACATATTGAGCACAGAGATTAAACGAAGATCATAAAGTCCATGCTTATGTTAACATAAACCAAGATGCAAAATAACAGTCCTTATTTTAATTCCTTTTAATCATGTTATGCATTTTAAGCCTTGTGAATATCCCTGGTCATTTTAGCCTTTCAGGTCTTCGTATCAGTGTTACAAAGGTCAGTTCTCCGTGGGGAAAAATGAGTAATTATATGGCAAACTACAGATGTTTCTGATTTGACTCTTCTTTTCTGTGTGTGTATCATTGAATGTGTATCATAAAAATAAGAGCAAGGGGGAAAATTGCACCAAGCAGGAAGCGGGGTTTGTTTGTGCTTCAATTACAAAGGGACTGCAATAATTTAAAAACTGTTTTGCAATACGGTTTCATCAGGACCTGTTAAGATCTGCTTTTCTGTCAGCTGCATTATGTTTGTTCATAAAGAATATCAAAGATGGCACAGCAGTTTTGGTTGGGGGGATATTGTGCACATTAGCATGCGTAACAGATGCCTGTTTTTAGCAAATAAATTAACCGCTACTTTATTTTGCAAAAAGGAAACACCTTTCTTGCAAATTAGGCTTCATTATAATATTAAGATGCAAACAGTTGGGCAATGAAATGTTGAAGAACGTGTCTTTAAACTGCCATTTTGGATTTTTAATGCAAAAAGGGCTTACAAAGACATGGGAAGGGTTTTCTTGTGAAAAATTTTCATCTTAGATTTGTGCCCTTCACAGCAAGTATTTTCCCACCAAGTGTCAGATGACTTGGGAGTACCAACAAAGTAACAAAATAACTTCCATGTAAATGGGATCTGCGCATGAGCACACTATTATTTAATGACAAAACTAATTCACAGGTCTGTTGAATGAAGGCATATGAAAGATTCATGCCAGTTGTAAATGTTTAGGGATTGATGTTTTATTTTCCTAAATGATCCCTGCCCTGGTAAATATGAGTAAGTAACAGAGTGTTTTAATGTCCTCACTAGGGATTCTAGCAGAAGAGAAAAACACATGAACTTGAACTTAACAGAGAAAGATCTCTCAGTCTGGCTGAATGCCTGAGGTATAGATATCCTTATGATGATATCTCTCTACACAGCGCACACACACAAAATGTATCTTCACTACCTGGGGTTTTTTTTTGCAATATGGCTGAGGCTAAATTTACACACCATAAAGTTCTTTATTTCTGGGTATTGTGTGTGTGAAGCTAGCACTTGTGAAAAGAAGTGCGAACTTATTCACAGTTCTGTCTCTGATGTCCAGAGAAACATCAGCAGTATTAAAAAGCAAGAGTCCAGGAGCACCTTAAAGACTAGCAAAATTCATGGAAGGGTACGAGCTTCCGTAAGTCACTGCTCACTTCAGATACGAGTACTGTTGTTCTCATTTTTCCTCTTCCCCAAACACAGCCCCTCTCTTTCAAACAGTTGTTGGGGCAATTTACTCTTTAAAAAACAACCTTTGCCCTTACTTATGAATAAATTTGCTTTCATGTGAAACTGAGAAAAAGTCCAGCAGGAACTCATTAGCATAATAGGCTACACCCAGCAGCATAAACTCATTAGCATATTAGGCCACACCCATGACTGTACTGCTCATTAGCATATTAGGCCGCATTCCCATGTTACCAGAAGTGTGGTCATCCAGCCACACCCACCTTTTGCTTCTTATTCTGTTTACCTTGTTTGTTGTCAAAACCCAGGGCTTTTTTTGTTGCAGGAACTCCATTGCATGTTAGGCCACACACCCCTAATGTAGCCAGTTCTAATGAGTTTCTGCTGCTGGGTGTGGCCTGTTATGCTAATGAGTTCCTGCTGGGTGTGGCCAACTTGGGAGCCAGCCGGAACTCCGTTCCTGTGCGTTCCTGCCCAAAAATAGCCCTGGCTGAAAGTATTTGCCTTTTCTGATGAATATGTTTGACCTTGTGGAAAATGTCTTCCCCACCCTTTGAAATTACTTGGAAAGTGTTTTGTGCTCAGGGGCCTTGCCCTCACTTTAAACAGACTTTGTTTCCCTTCCGTGCTGTCAACATGTAGTCAAATCTGATTGGCCAGATTCACCCATGTGAGTAATCGGGCAGAGAAAGAAGTCTTCAGCAGGGGAAAACAGTGCCAAAGAGCAGAACGTCTTTTTCAGGAGCAATGTATTTTTTTTCTGTTGAAATCACTCTATCTGGAAATGAACACAGAAGACTATTCAGTGCGGCCTTGATTATATAGACATGGCAGTGCTTGGAAAAAAATAATTTTGCTCTCATGCCTCCTTTTAAAACAATTAACTCATGGGCACACAGTTATCTCCTATTATTTTTACGGAACACCTGCGTTTTGTGCAGACAGCTTGTAAAGGCTAGTTCCTGGTCACAGACAGATAACTCAACAATTATGGCAAATGTTGCCTGGGCATTGGTGTGAACACGTCCTCTCTTGCATATGTTACAATTATGCAGAAAGTGGTTCTGTGCCACCAAACATCATGAACAATGTGGGCATAATCCAGCCAAAGCGCTTCTAAATCCATCAGGAGGGATTTCAGTGCTTGCTGCATTCTTTGTGTGTTACTACAAAAAGTGTCAAGACCGGGCTTAATGGGCCGCCTCCCCAAGGAAATGTGCCTGTGATTGCACCCTTTGGCTGGATTGTTTCCTGTGTGTAAGGTGCTACTTGCAGGCTTTTGGATATTGCTCAAATACTGATGTTTAGTACTCCAGCATACTGTAGCAAGCGATATATTAAGTAGCTGTGTGCAGGAGATGTCAATCCAAGGTGATCTTTTTCTATTTGTATAGAGCCTTGTGTGCGAACAGCGAGGCTTTTTAATTCTGTCAGCTGACTTCCTCTCTGTGAGGCATCTAACCTTTTTGGAAAGTTGAAAAAAAGCAGTTCTCCCTCTGAGGTGGAGGACATCTTGTGGGTGATTCCCATCCATCACTTAGGGAGGCAGGACTAATTTCAGTTACTTCCTGTTTCCTGTAGTGGGAGTCACCCTAGGCTCAGTTCTTTTCCTGCCTCAGAAGGGAGAGCAGCTAGGTGTAGGTTCTGCCTAACCCTATCTTTCTGAGTTAACTTACTTTCACTTTCTCCTTCCATCTTTGCTGTTCCCTTTCTCTGAAGAAACTTAAGGGGGGAAAAAGTCCTTTTATTCCTTCCTATATGTTATCCTCTCCCCCCCCCCCCTTTGGAGGTTGAGCATTGCCGGTCCGGTTGCTCTCTTAGTGGGAGGGGGATCTCACAGACCGCCTTCCATGGCATTAAGAGAGGATAGCAGTGGATTTCTCTCCACTCCGGGGATGGAGGCCGTGGCGGTGGCCGACGCTCAACCAGCAGAGCAAGGCGAGGATGGCATTCCAAAGCGCGCCAAACAGCTGCACACCCCTGCAGCATTTACCAAGCCCGCGCCAGCCTCAGTGGCCATTTTGGAGTCCACTGGCCACTCTATGCTTTAAGACGGGAATGGTGAGCAGAGCCTAATCCCGCACATGGCACACCCTGAGACCTATGGTTCAAGGGGATTCATCGAGCTAGGCGTGATTGTGCCGATAATGCTCAAGGGGACGAGGAAGATGACGAGTTACAGAGCGGTAATGTTGGCAATCCCAGGTCTGTCCCCTTATTTCCAAATGTAATGGCCTTCTTTATAAGAGCCATGGGGGAGGAAATAGCGCATTTCTGCAGATCAGGGGACCATGGGGCTACTATATCCTCCTCCCCCTCCCCCTCTCCTTGGAGGCGCAAGAACAGAGTCAGCTGTCCCACCAAAGCTGCACAAAAAGGGTTCCCCAGGAGCACTGCCTATGTGATCCGCCTTCACGTGAGAGGGATAGCCTCTCACATGTCTCTGCTGAAAAAGAGGGGGGGATTTTCATGTAATGATAGTGAATAGGAATGATTGTCTCAGATCAGACCAGTCCTTTAGATATTTCAAGGGTGAGGTTTTTCAGTATTTGCTGTCTAAGACCCTATCAGCACTCAATATACAGGGACCCCTAAAGGCAGGGGACAAGAGTGCTAATGCCCAAGGGCAGAAAGATGGCACAGAGCTCATCGATGAGTTCTTTCCTCCAGCTAATTGCTCAGAAAGAACCTTCCTCTCCCCTGAATTCTATGTGTGACAGATGAGGAAGAGTGGGCAAAGCCAATAACAAACAAACCATTTCCAGCGGTTGTTAAAAAAGTTGTACCCTTTGATAACATCTGCTTCAGATCTTTTGCACCAGCAACTGCCCTACAATCCTCTCGGTTGCTCTCAGAAGATGAACATGAGGCCACTTCCATGGCAATCAATATGCCAGCTGCAGCATCCACAGCTTCTAAAGCAACTATTGTGTGGATGCGTAAGTTGATAGAGAGGTTACCATGCAGCAACCGCAGACTACTGAAGGGCAGTGTTCCCTCTAAGCTGAGTTAGTGTAAACTAGCTCACAGTTTTTTAGCCTCCGGCTCACACCTTTTTGTCTTAGCTCAGGAAGGATGGCTCCAGAGCAAACTAATTTGTGCAGTAGCCAAATTGCTGGCCCACAACTTTAATGCCAGTAGCTCACAAAGCAGAATTTTTGCTCACAAGACTCCACAGCTAGGAGGGAGCATTGCTGGAGGGTGCCAGTAGGATCTTGAAAGCCATCTCCTATACTGCCGATGCCACACTAGACACCATGGTCTTTGCTTCCAAGGCGATGGCATCAGCAGCCACCGCTAGTCGCATCATCTGACTAAGAGTTTGGCCTACAGATTACCAATCTAATGCCATCATCACAGCATGACCATTTCAGGGAGACAAGCTGTTCGGGGATCCACTGGAAACAAACATACAAAGAAAGAAATCTCAGTGGAAACCTGCAACAAGAAAAAGGCTCTACCCAAGACCATACAGCTTGG